TGTCTGTTCATTTCCTTTGCCCATTTTTTAACAGGATTATTTATCTTTTTGTTGTAGAGGTGTTGGATTTTCTGGTAGATTATGGAGATTAGACCTTTGTCTGACTTGTACTGTCCAAAAATTTTTTCCCGGTCTGTAGGTTCTCCTTTTACTCTTTTGGTGAAGTCGTTTGAAGAGCATAGGTATTTTATTTTTAGAAGATCCCAGTTATCTAGCGTATCTTCTGGGGTTTGTGTGTTGATGGTTATGGTTTGTATCCTGTAATGCCATGTATTAGGGCCTGTAGCATTGGTCCTATTTTTTCTTCTGTGAACTTAATAGTTTTTGGCTTTATATTTAGGTCTTTGATCCATTTTGAATTAGTTTTTGTATGGTGTGAGGTATCAGTGCTGTTTCATTTTTTTGCAGATGGATATCCAGTTTTGCCAGCACCATTTGTTAAAAAGACTCTTTTCCCCATTTGATGGACTTCGGGCCCTTGTCGAAGATCAGGTGACCATAGGTGGTTGGATTTACATCTGGGTTCTCAATTCTGTTCCATTGGTCCATGTATCTGTCGTTGTACCAGTACCAGGCTGTTTTGACTACCGTAGCTGTATAGTAGGTTCTGAGGTCAGGGAGTGTGAGTCCTCCAACTTTATTCTTCTTCAGTAGTGCTTTACGTATTTGGGGCTTCTTCCCTTACCATATAAAGTTAATGATTAGTTTTTCCATCTCTTTGAAGAATGTTGTTAGTATTTGGATTGGGATTGCATTGTATTTGTAAACTGCTTTGGGTAGAATTGTCATTTTCACAATGTTGAGTCTACCTGTCCACGAACATGATATGTTTTTCCGTTTATGTAGATCCCTTTGGGTTTCTTGCAGTAGTGTTTTGTAGTTTTCTTTGTATAGGTCTTTTCATCCCTGGTCAGATTTATTCCTAAGTATTTTATTTTTTTAGGGGCTATTATAAATGGTATTGTTTTCCTGATTTCCTTTTCATTGTTCTCTTTATTGGTGTATAGGAATCCAACTGATTTTTGTATGTTCATCTTGTATTCTGCTACTCTGCTGAATCTTTCTGTTAGTTCCAGTAGATTTTGTTGTGGAGTCTTTAGGGTTTTCTATGTATAGTGTCATATCATCCGCAAACAGGGACAGTTTAACTTCGTTACCAATTTGGATGCCCTTTATTTCTTTTTCTTGCCTTATTGCTCTAGCTAGAACTGCCAGCACAGTGTTAAACAGGAGTGGTGATAAAGGGCATCCTTGTCTTATTCCTGTTCTCAAGGGGAATGTTTTCAGTGGGATTGAGGTATTTTTTATTCCAGTTTATCTCTGTTGTTGTTTCAACTATAACTCTTTTTTTACGTTTTTTATGTTAATTTGTTGTTGTGCTTTAAGTGAAAGTTTACAATTCAAGTTAGTCTGTTATACAAAAATTTATACATACATTGTTATTCTTTTGTTATCTTAATGGTTGCTTTAGGCTTTATAGTATATATCTTTAACTCATCATAAGTTGTCTGCCTTCTAGTATACATCTTTAACTTGTCATAAGTTAAGTCTACCTTCAAGTGCTATTTTTACTACTTTACATGTAGTATGAGAACTTTGCAATAATATACTTTTATTTCTCCCCTTCCTGAATATTTATTATACTTATGCATATTATAAATCCTCAGGGCATTGTTATTATTTTTGTATGATCAATTTTATTTTAAAGATATTTAAATAATAAGAAAATAATCTTACATATTTACATATATAGTTACCATTTTCCCTGTTCTTTATTTCATCGTATAGCTCCATATTTCTGTCTGGTGTTATTTTCTTTTTGTCTGATGGACTTTCTTTAGTATTTCTGATAGGACAGAATTGTTGGTGATGAATTATTTTTTCTTTTGTATATTTGAAAAAGTCTTTTTTGAAGATAATTTTCATTGGGCATAGAACTCTAGCTTAACAGCTTTTTTCTTTCTATATTGTAAAGATGTTGCTCTACTGTCTTCTTGCTTACGTTGTTTTTGATGAGCAATCTGGTGTTGTCTTTGTTGCTCTGTCCATAAGATATCATTTTTCTTTCACTGCTTTTAAGATTGTCTCTTTATCACTTGTTTTAAGCAATTTGATTATGATTTGCCTTAGTGTCATTTTATTCATGTTTCTTATTCTTGGGTTTTGGTAAGCATATTAAAAATGTAGATTTATAGTTTTCATAAATTTGGATATTTTTCAGTTATTTTTTTCAGGACTCCAATTACATGTGTATTAGGCCACTTGAAGTTTTTCCACAGCTCAGTGGTATTCTTTACATTTTTACTATTTTTTCTCTGTGTCTTTAATTCTAGATAATTTCTATTGCCACCTTTAAATTCACTAATCTTTTCTTCTTCAGTATATAAACTTCTGTTAATCCCATCTAGTGTGCAATCTCAGACGTAGTTTTTATTGTTAGAAGTTCAACTTGAGTTTTGTTTTTTTTAATCTTTCATGTCTCTACTTCCCTTTTTGAATATCTGGAATGCAATTATAATAACTGTTCTAATGTTCCTGTCTGCTAATTCTGAACTCTGTCAGTTCTGGGTCAGTTTCAATTGGTTGATATTTCTCCTCCTTATGGGTTATATGTTCCGGCTTATTTGCATGACTGGTAATCTTTGATTGGATAGCAGACGTTGCAATTTACATTGTTGGGTATTGGATATTTTATTATTTCTTACCCTGGTGGCATAATGGTTAAGAGCTACGGCTGCTAACCAAAAGGTTGGCAGTTTGAATCCACCAGGTGCTCCTTGGAAACGCTATGGGGCAGTTGTACTCTGTCCTGTAGGGTTGCTATGAGTCGGAGTCGACTCAACGGCAATGGGTTTATAAATATTTCTGAGCTTTGTTCTGAGACACAGTTTAATTAATTGGAAACAGTTTTATCCTTTTGACTCTTGCTCTTAAGATTTGTTAGTCTGGGCATGAGCAACGTTTAGTATGGGGATAATTACTCCCCACTACTGAGGCAAGACCTTTCAGAGTACTCTACCCAATACCTCATGAATTGGGAGGTTTCCATTCTGGCTGGGGGAAACAGGCATTATTTGTAGCTGAGCTGTGTGAGGATCCTTTATTATTCCTTCTAATTCTCTCATTTTGTTCTATCCCAGCCTCATTTATATTTCTAACATACATTCACCAGTCAGTACTCTGCTCAATACTCAAGGAATACCTCTGCAGAACTCCACAATTCTCTCAGTTCATTTCTCTCCTCTCCAGCACTTTTCTGTTAATTCTAGCTACCTTAGCTTTCCTGGACTCTCAGCTCCATCTCCTCAACTGCAGGAGTCTGTCAGGCTCTGCCTGAGTTCTCCCTCCACGTACCATAGTGTGGAACGTCTCTCAAGGGAGCAGTCTGGGGCAATTAAAAGGCTATCTCATTTGTTTCTTGTTTCTCAGGGCTCACTGTCCTTCACTGCCTGATGCCAGTTTTGTGAAAGCCTTTCTTTCATATGCTTTTGTCCTTTTTTTTGTCTTTTTTTTCCCTGTCGCAGCTTAGTGTTTAATTATCTGGTTTGTATCACTCTGTCTTGGCTACAACCAAAAGTCTACCATACATTTTTCTCAACACAATTTAAAACCTTTCAGTAGTGCCTTGTATAGAAAGTCAGCATAATGCAGTAGTACAAATGTGTGAACTTTGGACTCTGATGGGCTTGCATTTTAATTTAGCTCTACCACTTACTAGCTGTGTGTCCTAGGACTAGTTATTTAACTTTTCTGAATCTGGGATTCTCCATCTGTAAAATGTTTATAATATTTCCTGCCTGATAAGATTGTTTTAGAATTAAAATGAGTTATTGTCTATATATCAACTAGTATAGTGCCTGGCATACAAGAGAGTGTTGCATTAATTTTACATAATAATATATAACTAAAAATAAAAATACATAATAAGTATGAATTGCCTGTCCGTCTCATATATATGTTATATAAATTTAATATTTACGTATGTATATATGCATGTATTTCTCTATACCATTCATAAAAGTTTAGAGATGGCTTATAAGAATGCATGAAATGAAATACTAAAATAATGAGTAAAATTAAGGCCATAGAAGAGCAAAAAGGTTATGTTAACCATAATAGCCTACGTAATTCTGGCAGAAATCTTTCAAATTTGACTTTGAGGGTTCTTGTCACTCAAGGCAAAGTGAAGAATTGTCTGTTACTTTTTTGTATCCTCAAATTTAGCTCTTAGCTATACAGTATATTGTGGATTGTAGCTCTTTAACACAGCAGCCCTTAGTAGCTGCAGTTTTATAACACCTTACATTGTTTTCTGCTGCTCCCTGCCTGCCTGTTGTTTATTTGCTGACTTATCTACCTTTTATTGCTGATGATTGCTGTTAAGCTCCAGACTCCAAGAGGGTAAGAATTACAGTCTTATATTGGTTATTGTCTCTTTCTCAGCATCATATCATTTTATATATATTACATTTTATGATATATAGTTTATTATATCACTCAGTAACAGTAAATGGTTTCTAATGAAATAATTATAGGGATATGGGTAGTTCCGTGGTAGAATTCTTGCCTTCCATGTGGGAGACCCAGGTTCGATTTCCTGGCCAGTACACTTCATGCACAGCAACCTCCCATCTATCAGTGGGGTTTACGTGTTGCTATAATGCTGAACAAGTTTCAGCAGAGCCCCCAGACTAAGCAGACTAGGAAGAAAGGCCTGCCAATCTACTTCCAAAAATCAGCCAGTGAAAACCCTATGGATCACAACAGTTCGCGACTGGGCTGCATTTTGTTGTGTTGTGCATGGGTTCACCAAGAGTTGGGGGCTAACTCGACAGCAGTTAACAACAACAACAGTAAAATAATTACTAATCAGTTAAAATTTTCATAGTAATATACGACATTACCTTTTTTGAACTACATTTGTCACCTGTGAGTAGAAATTATCTAATTGTTGATTCAGTATACCAATCACTTAACTCTCATCTATTTTACTTTTCTAGTTGCTCTTTATTTACTTCTGAATCTTGCTGAAGATACTCGTACAGAACTGAAGATGAGGAACAAAAACATAGTTCACATGCTGGTGAAGGCTCTTGATCGGGACAATTTTGAGCTGCTTATTCTGGTTGTGTCATTCTTGAAGAAACTCAGCATTTTTATGGAGAATAAAAATGATATGGTAACTTCTAAAACTCTTTCTTGAAACAGTCCATGCTGTACATTTTCAAGCTAGAATTTTTCCAATAAACAAAGCATATTATCCCCCTTCTGAGATAATTCTCAATGAAGATTTTGCAGTAACAACTCACTCTAGCTGGCTTCAGTAGGACATGTAGTCCATATTAGTTAGTATTTCAGATAATTGAAGCTTTGTGGAGAAAACTCTTTTCCTAGTATGTTGGATTTAACAAACTTTGCTATACTAAACTTGGTGTATAGAAAGTAATTTAAACTCACATTGGTACTTCAGGGTAATCTAACCTTATTTTCCTCTAGACTATTTGGCTTCCTGTAATTCTGATATTACTTTGTGGAATTATAGTCTGGCCCAGTCATTTTTCTATCACCCACTGTTCCAAATGGTAACCACAACCTGTTGATTCTACTTTTCAAATATGTCTTACAAGTATCCTTTCTTTCCATTCCCAGTGCCATTGTATTAATTCAGGCCCTCTTCTATTCTATTTTTTTTTTTAATGTACTTTAGATGAAGGTTTACGAAACAAACTAGCTTCTCATTAAACAGTCAGTACATGTACTGTTTTATGACATTGGTTAACAACCCCATAACATGTCAACACTCTCCCTACTCGACCTTGGGTTCCCTATTAGCAGCTTTCCTGTTCCCTCCTATCTTCTGGTCCTTGCCCCTGGGCTGGTGTGCCCCTTTAGTCTTGTTTTGTTTTATGAGCTAAAAGGGTGTCCGGGCACCATACTCTCGGGGTTTCTCCAGTCTCTGTCAGGCCAATAAGTCTGGTCTTTTTTTGTAAGTTAGAATTTTGTTCTACATTTTTCTCCAGCTCTGTCTGGGACCCTCTATTGTGATTTCTGTCAGAGCAGTCAGTGGTGGCAGCCAGGCACCATCTAGTTGTGCTGGACTCAGTCTGGTGGAGGCCATGGTAGTTGTGGTCCATTAGTCCTTTGGACTAATCTTCCCCTTATATCTTTGGTTTTCTTCATTCTCCCTTGCTTCCGAAGAGGTGAGACCAGTGGAGTATCTTAGATGGCTGCTCACAGGCTTTTAAGACCCCAGACACTACTCACCAGAGTAGAATGTAGAACATTTTCTTTGTAAACTGTGTTATGCCGTTTGAGCTAGATGTTCCCTTAGACCATGGTCCCCACAGCCCTCAGCCCAGCAGTTCGGTCCCTTGGGGAGTCTGGATGTGTCTATGGAGCTTCCATGACCTTTCCTTGTACAAGTTGTGCTAGCTGCCCCAGTATTGTGTACTGTCTTACCCTGCGCCAAAGTTACCACTTATCTATTGTCTTGTTTAGTGTTTTTCCATCCCCACCTCTCCCCTCCCTTGTAACCATCAAAGATGGTTTCTTTTAGTGTATAAACCTTTTCATGAGTTTTTATAGTAGTGGTCTCATTCAATATTTGTCCTTTTGTGATTGACTTATTTCAACTCAGCATAATGCCCTCCAGATTCATCCATGTTGTGAGATGTTTCCCAGATCATCATTGTTCTTTAGCATTGTGTAGTACTCCATTGTATGTATGTACCAAAGTTTGTTTATCCATTCATCTGTTGATGGGCATCTAGGTTGTTTCCATCTTTTTGCTATTGTAAAGAGTGCTGCAGTGAACATGGGTGTGCATATGTCTATTCATGTGACGACTCTTATTTCTCTAGGATATATTCCTAGGAGTGGGATTGCTGGATCATGTGGTATTTCTATTTCTAGCTTTCTAAGGAAGCGCCATATCGTTTTCCAGAGTGGTTGTATCATTTTGCATTCCCACCAGCAGCGCATAAGAGTTCCGATCTCCCGCAGCCTCTCCAACATTTGTTATTTCCTGTTATTTTGATTCGTGCCAGTAATGCAAGGGTGAGGCAGTATCTCATAGTGCATTTGCATTTCTCTAACGGCTAGTGATCGTGAGCATTTCCTCATGTGTCTGTTGCCTGCTTTAATGTCTTCTTTGGGTAAAGTCTCTTTTCATTTCCTTTGCCCGTTTTTTAATTGGATTATTTGTCTTTTTGTTGTAGAGGGGTTGGATTTTCTTGTAGATTTTAGAGATTAGATCTTTGTGTGATTTGTAATAGCCAAAATTTTTTTCCCAGTCTGTACGTTCTCGTTTTACCCTTTTGGTGAGGTCTTTTGATGTGCCTAAATGTTTAATTTTTAGAAGATCACAGTTATCTAGCTTATCTTCTGGAGTTTGTGAGTTGTTGGTTATGGATTGTATCCTGTTAATGCCGTGTATTAGGGCCTGTAGCATTGATCCTATTTTTTCTTCTATGAACTTTATAGTTTTTGGCTTTATATTTAGGTCTTTGATCCATTTTGAATTAGT